TATATGTATATATATATATATATATATATATAATGAGAATTACTTATTAAAATAAATCTCAATTTGTGAATTACCAATAAGTCTAATATTAGTTATTATTGTTAGTGTTATAATTGTTTGTTAAATGTTTTCATCCCAAAGGTAATTTCAAGTTTAAAGTGTATTAAAAAAATAAATTAACAGAGACGAATTACTTATTTCTATATTTATTTAAATTTTATCTTTTAAATATATATACGAACCGTCTTCTACCATGTTTTTAATCATTTGACATTTATACAACGTAATAAGATTTCGAGAAATATCTAAAATTTCATTTTCTTGGAAAGTTTGTATTACTTACTTAGATACATCATATATTTCATATATCAAGATTCATATTTGTTTATTGAAATATATTGATGCTAGTTTAGGTTAGTAATTATGTTAAAATAAAATAAAACAACACATTAGAGAACAATAACAATAATTATAAGAAAATTGAGGAGACAAAGAAAGTGCATTTTATAAATAAACACTACAACAAAAAGAGGTTTATAGGACACTTTTTTGGGACACTTTTCGAAAACCGTCCTTTAAAAAGGCTAATACGACACATTAGTTTATAAGTCTTATTTGATTTAATCTTATATGACTCTTAATTTTGATGTCTTATTAACATATCTTGACGTCCTATCATGTAACCTAATACGACGATTTTGAATGCCATATTATTTTATGGTCTAATAGGACACTTTTAAGTGTCGTATTATTTTAAAGACCAATAGGACAATATAAAGTTTAATATTATTGTAAATGCTAATATGATACTTTAAATTATCCTATCTATATCTATATATAAAGGAGAATCATCAAAAGATGACGTGGCATCTTGAGAGAGCTAGAATCATTGGTTGTTATTTTTTCCAATTTTTGAATTCTTTTAAATTAAAACATATCATTAAATGAATAAATCTTTCATTTACTTTATATATAAGTTACATATAATGATCAAATAAACCTTTATATCTATAAATATATAATCTATAATCTATAAGTAAGAAGCAAAAGACATGATATGGTACAATGTGGATTGAGGATTACAAAATATTGAATTGTAGTTAACTTTATCCATATCTCACTTTGACAAAAAGATGATATGTTGAAACATTGGGGATGATTATATAAAGAAAATGATGACAACTTTTTATTTACATGGTTTTTTTTATTTATGATTACTTTAATTCATTTTGGATTAAATAGTTAATTTTAGTTACACTTTTCTTTGTGTTGATTTGATATTCTATTTTGTTATACAATTAATACGATACACTTATTTTATTTGTTTTGTTTATCTTATATCTTTGTATATATGAAAGTAAGAACCAAGAAAAATGAAATGACACAATATGGATTGAGAATTCCAAAATATTGAATTATGGTTAACTTTGTTTATCCATTGATATAATCTTTATCTTATATAGATATGTGTGTGTGTAGGGACGGGTAAAAGAAATTGAAATTAATATATAAATAAGATTATAATCAATGTACATAATTAAATACTTATTATTAACTCTCTCATTAATAAACGAAATACT